TGGAGGTGAGTCTGTTGGAAAATTACTGCCCGCGTGCAGTGACTGTGCGCCTGGGGCGGTGCAGGAGCAGTATATAAGAGGGCCCTTCTCCTCACTCTCTCAGCCGCTCCTCTTGCCTCCATCTCCTTGAGCACAAGGTGAGTCTGAAGCCCTTTCTTCTTCTCCTCGGTGATTTCTCAGACCGTACATGCTCCTTTATCCAGAGCGGGATCTTGGAACTGCTTACCATAGGAGAGGGTAGTGTGTATAAGGTGTGACATGGAGAGATGCTGAGGCCTGGTTAAAGTGTCCCCTGGGATTTGGGTCGGTGGGGATTTCCCTGGGCTCAGTTGACCTTGGTGGGGCTTATTTGAGGGAAAGGACAGTCCTTGTGGAACTTCCTACACAGCATCCAATACCCGTTTCCAGTTTGTGCCTTGTCCCCCTCATGGTGGTGTGACAGGCTGCTCCTCACCCATATCCCTTGCTCAGCTTCCTCCTCCCCTCTCTCCCAGGTGCGCCTCCAGCCTCAAGACATGTCCTGCTACAACCCGTGCCAGCCCTGCCTGCCCTGCCAGCCCTGCGGCCCGACCCCACTGGCCAACAGTTGCAACGAGCCCTGTGTCAGGCAGTGCCAGGACTCCAATGTCTTCATCCAGCCCTCCCCCGTGGTGGTGACCCTGCCCGGACCCATCCTCAGCTCCTTCCCGCAGAACACCGCCGTGGGCTCCTCCACCTCCGCTGCCGTTGGCAGCATCCTCAGCTCTGAGGGAGTGCCCATCAACTCTGGGGGCTTCGGACTCTCCAGCCTTGGCAGCTTGTGGCAGGACGTGCCTCCCCTGCTAAAGCTGCTGGCGTTGGCCCTGGGGAAGGCCCCCGCGCACCCACAAGATGGTACCAGACTGGGGACGGAGCATCGGCTTGTTGCTTCCAGAGGGGCTGAGGAAGCCCAGCAGCCCTCGCAAAAGGACGGTCAGCCTGGGCTCTCAGGAAGCACAGGTTGCGCCTGACTTTCCTCTGTTCCACTCCTTTTTCCTTTCCCTGTTCTTGTTCTCTTGT